GTGTATCTGTGTTTTATAGAATCCTGCCGGGTCACTGGCTGTGTGGACTTGCAGGCAGAGTAGGAGCAGGATGTGTACTATGGATGTGAAGCCAATCTCCTCCTCTGTAAGAACTTGAAGAGCAGATACTGTCAAAGCAGTTTAGTGGCTTGTATTTCTTTCCCCAGTCAGCTTTTAGCAGTGTCCCATTACTTATTTACCTGTTTGTATTTAAAATACAGAGAGCAGCAAACTTTGGAAGATTGTAGGGCTATTGAAAAGTATATTTTCTGTACATAGAATATTGGCAAAAGCTAGTGGTGCCACAGATTTGGTGGATGTTAAGAGATCATTTTAGTTATTTGTGATGATGATGAAGATTTTGAGAGTCAGCTTGAGTGGGAGAGAGCTAGGTCTGAATTTGGATTCTTCAGCATTACCTAGCTGGGTGATCTTGAGCTTCTCTCTAAGCTTTTTAATTTTAATTTAATTTTATTTTTTGCCATCCAGTTCTGCCCCAAAAGGAGGAAGCAATAGATCTTCCTTTAATAACTTCCCAAAGTGTTACAAATAAAAAAAAGGAGCCTAAAGCATTGCGGGGGTGGCTGAACGCAGAGCAGGAAAGGATTTGCTCCTCTGCTTTCTAAACTTTTGATTCCTTTCCTGTGAGGTGAATATAGCCAGCTATCCTGCAGGATTATTTTGAAGATTAATGATAGAACATAGTAGATATTCAATAGTTAGTAGTTGTTACTGTTGTTGTTATTGTTTAGAATTTCCCTTAGTGGAAACATATAATTTGAGTTAATAACAGAATTTATTGTTTATTATTCCAAAGAAAGTCTGTAATGAGTGGAAAATTGAGAAATGACAAAACCAGAGTTGTTTTTTAAAAAACTTGTAAGGGGATGTTTGGTGTAAATCTGTGTTCTGAGGTGGAAGGTCCACTCTTGTTAACATTTTTGCTCACCTAGGTACACATAGAAAGTTGTTATAATCTGGTGTAAACAAATGATGGGGGGCTAACACAACGTCCATTTATTTGTTTTCCTTTTCAAAGACACTGCTTTGTCATCAAGGTTGGGTGTGCTTAGGAACTACGGTATATATATAAATGGAAGCCTACTAATTAATACTTCTGATTTCTCTGGAATCACCAGGAATACATTAATGCCTTCAAGAAAGATGAAATGGAAAAAAGGAATGTTTAGATGGAAAGACTGAATATTATAAAGATTTTGTTTCTTCCCAAGTTAAATTGTATTTATAATTCAATTCCAATGAAAATCCCAAGAGGGGTTATAAAAAATTACTTATAAAAGATTTGTAAGTGCAAATAGCTTTGAAAAATGGAATAATTAAAATGAAAAGCATGACTAACAACACCAAATATTTTTAAATATTATAAAGTGTGAATAATTAAATCAATGTAATGCTGGGCCAAGAATTAGCAGACAGATCAAGGAATGGAATAGACAGAAATAGACCCTGGTATATATAACATGTTAATATATGAAAGCAGTGAGGATTGCTTTTTTTTTTTTTTTGAGATTGGGTCTCACTCTGTCATTCAGGCTGGAGTGCAATAGCATGATCTTGGCTCACTGCAACCTCCGTCTCCCGGGTTCAAGCAGTTCTCCTGCCTCAGCCTCCCGAGTAGCTGGGACTACAGGTATGTGCTACCATACCCAGCTAATTTTTGTATTTTTTGTAGAGATGGGGTTTTGTCATACTGCCCAGGCTGGTCTCGAACTCCTGGCCTCAAGTGATCTGCCCGCCTCGGCCTCTCAAAATGCTGGGATTACAGGCATGAGCCACCATTCCCCACCAGGAGTAAGGATTTCTGGGGAAGGAATGAATTATTAAGTAAATATTGCCAGAATAGTTAACTAGCTGCTTAGAAAAAATATTAATTTAGTTTTGTAGTGTATACTAAAATAAATTCCAGGCAAAAGAATTTGAGAAGACAGACTCAAAAATATTTTAGTAGACAATACAAGAAAATACAGAAAATAGGTGGCTGATGCCTGTAATCCCAGCACTTTGGGAGGCTGAGGAGGGCAGATCACCTGAGGTCCCAAGTTTGAGACCAACCTGACCAACATGGTGAAACTTCGTCTCTACTAAAAATTGCAAATATTAACCAGGTATGGTAGTTAATGTGCCTATACTACCAGCTAGTCGAGAGGCTGAGGCAGGAGAATCACTTGAACCCAGGAGGCGGAGGTTGCAGTGAGCCAAGATCATGCCACTGCACTTTTGGGGTCAAGTGATCCTCCTGCCTCAGCCTCCTGAGTAGCTGGGACTACTGGCATGCACCACCTTGCCTATTTAATTTTAAATTTTTTATTTATGGAGGGAGGTGCTTGCCATGTTGGCCAGGCTGGTCTCAAACTCTTGGTCTCAAGCAGTCCTCCCGAACTGGTCTCCTGAGGCACTGGCATTGCAGGTATGAGCCACCTTGCCTGGCCAAATAGAAACTCTTTGAAGGCAAGAAATATGTCTTATCTACTGTTGTGTCTTTAGTGTTACTGCATAGTTTCTGGCACATAGCAAGTCTTTGGTGAATATTTGTTGAATGAATGAATGAATGAATAAGCTTAAAATCAAAAGAAGAAAATACAAGGGGAAAAGTTGAGATGCCTATTTAAAAATTTTTTAACTTTCTTGAAAAAACTCAATACGTAAGTTAAGACACAAAAATGGAAGTAATCACAATAAATATGATGCAAAAGACAGTATTTTTCTTTATGAAGCATATATATGAATCACCAAGAAAATAGATATTAGTATCTATTAGTATGTATAGACAATTAACAGAAGAGCAAATAAAGGCTAACAAATATTTGCGAAAAAAGGTTCTGTTTCACTAGTAGAGAAATAGAAAACAAAACAACAATGAATTATTTTCATTTATCAGATAATCAAATACTGGAAAAAAGTCATGAATACCTGATACACTGATAATGGAGGGTGAAAAAGGCACTTTATACATTATTGGTGGACATATCATGTAGAATACCTTATTAGAAAAAACTGGTGACAAACATTCAAGGTATTTAAAAAATACTTATTTTCTTGGTTTCCATAGTCTAGTTCTACCCTAAGGAAATATTAGGAAATGCAGATAAAGATTTATAAATAAAGATATTCATCACAATGTTATTAGAGTAGTAAGAAACCAAAGATCAACCTAAACCTCCAACATTAGGGGAATGGTTAAGCAAATTAGAGTATAAGTCTGCATATGACTTATGCAGCCTTTGCAAATGATATTTAGGAATAATAAAATAATATGAGAAATATTTATGATGTAAAGTTAAATGAAAAATGAATGGTATAAAATCATGGTTCACAGTATGATCGCAAATAGGCAAGGCAGTATACACAATAAGGGAAATATAACAATGTTAATAGTTTAGGTTTAGGATTATGGGTGACTTTCATACTTTATACCATTTTATATTTTTGTAGTTTTTAAAGTTTTTTATAATGAACATATATTACTTCCATAATTGAAAAACAAGTTTTGTTTCTTTTAAAGCATACAGTGTTGGATATAGATCTCTCTGTCCTGTAATCGTTGGTGATAAAACTTAGTGAACAATAGGGTTTTGTTTGCCTCAAGTTAAAATTCTCTACTTTAATTGCAAAAGTTAATTTATAGGCCAGTAATCTTATACAGCAGGCAGTTTGGTTGATAAACGTATCCAAAGAAAGAACTGAGTATCTGACTTTTCTTACCTCTCCAGAGCCCTTGTAACATTGATTTCTGCTCTCTCATTATATTGTGTTTTATTTTTAGTTATAAAATATGTTTTATTGCCTTTAATCTGATATACCTTTATAAGCTTGAATTAAGACACGAGATGATTTTCTGAACCCAGGTTTTTACCATATTAGGGAAAGTTAAGATTGAAAAATACAAGTAGTAGGTTCTAAACTCCCAGTCATCCATGTTATAATTAGTCAATTATTGCAGAAACTTGGTAGAGAAAGGTTTCCTGTTTTCTTTTCTCCCCCACTACAGCCATCTTTACTTCTGTCAAGAACTCTTCTGACTTTGTTACCAGCTCTCTCATTATATACATTTTAAAAAGAAAAGCTGTTATCAGTCTGCTCAATTTTTTTTTTTTTCCTTCGATTTCAGTAGATCCTGGGTGAAATATTCACTAAAGTTTAGAGTATCACCTTAAGACCTGGGCAACAGGGGCCCCTGCTTTGGATCTTACTTAAAGGACGCATATATCACAAATGTTCAAAATATAAGTGTCATTTAAGATCCAGCACTAAGTGGCATAGTACAATTTGTAATCCAAATGTCCACTGTAGTGACCTAACACCATTCAGGCTCCAGATAACACTTTCCTCCATCTCTTGCCGTGTGCCATTGAAGCAAAAAGTGATTCTGTGTGAATGTCATGAAGGTTATGGGCTGTTGATGCTGGTTATGGACACTGCTTTGGAGTATGGGGAGGATTTGAGTGACATAAGTTCTTAGGGGAGGGAAAAGACAAATTAGCACAAACGCAGTAGATTCTTGCACATTGAAGTAACATTTCCCAGGGCTGCTGAGCATCCATTTTCTTGTTTCTCTTTGTATTCCAGTATGTGGTTCTGGAGATATAAATTAGGATGATATTTGTAACAGTGGCTCATGGCAGTTGAAGAATATTTTGCAATGTTAAACAATTCATATTACTCTTAAATTTTATGTGTGAAGGTCCTGATATTGTGGACATTGGCCGTAGATGAGCCTTGAACTCTAGAATTGTGAGTAGTTCTGTATTCGTAAAAATACATAATGGGACTTAGCTTTTTAAAAAATCACATTAAAGTTTAAACTTTATTATAATAAATTTACTTAACATTTGGTAATTGTTAATTATAATTTGTATTTTGTCTTTGAGTTTTTATAGATAATTTTGAATATTTTAGAAAAAAGATAACATATGATAGCTGGGCACAGTGGCACATATCTGTAGTCCTAGCTACTCGGGAGGCTAAGGTGAAAGGATCACTTGAGCCCAGGAGTTTTAAGTCCAACTTGGGTAACATAGTGAGACCCCATCTCTTAAAAAAAAATTAAAAAAAAGGTCTGTCCAAGCCCAGACAAAGTCTTCACTCCTTCCCGAGGCCCGAGGAAGCCCTCTCTCCCCAGACATGGCCAATAAGGGTCCTTCCTATGGCATGAGCTGCGAAGCTCAGTCCAGAATTGAGAAGAAGTACGACAAGGGACTGGAGTAACGGCTGGTGGAGTGGATCATAGTGCAGTGTGGCCCTGATGTGGGCTGCCCAGACCGTGGGCGCCTGGGCTTCCAGCTCTGGCTAAAGAATGGTGTGATTCAGCAAAAGAAACTACCATCAGAGTGAACAGGCAACCTACAGAATGGGAGAAAATTTTTGCAATCTACTCATCTGACAAAGGGCTAATATCCAGAACCTACAAAGAACTCAAACAAATTTATAAGAAAAAAGCAACCCCATCAAAAAGTGGGCAAAGGATATGAACAGACACTTCTCAAAAGAAGACATTCATACAGCCAACAGACACATGAAAAAATGCTCATCATCACTTGCCATCAGAGAAATGCAAATCAAAACTGCAATGAGATACCATCTCACACCAGTTAGAATGGCAATCATTAAAAAATCAGGAAACAACAGGTGCTGGAGAGGATGTGGAGAAATAGGAACACTTTTACGCTGTTGGTGGGACTGTAAACTAGTTCAACCATTGTGGAAAACAGTGTGGCGATTCCTCAAGGATCTAGAACTAGAAATACCATTTGACCCAGCCATCCCATTACTGGGGATATACCCAAAAGATTATAAGTCATGCTGCTATAAAGACACATGCACACGTATGTTTACTGTAGCACTATTCACAATAGCAAAGACTTGGAATCAACCCAAATGTCCATGAGTGACAGAATGGATTAAGAAAATGTGGCACATATACACCATGGATACTATGCAGCCATAAAAAAGGATGAGTTTGTGTCCTTTGTAGGGACATGGATGCAGCTGGAAACCATCATTCTCAGCAAACTATTGCAAGAACAGAAAACCAAATACCGCATGTTCTCTCCCATAGGTGGGAATTGAACAATGAGATCACTTGGACACAGGAAGGGGAACATCACACACCGGGTCCTATTGTGGGGAGGGGGAGGGGAGAGGGATAGCATTAGGAGGTATACCTAATGTAAATGATGATTTAATGGGTACAGCACACCAACATGGCAAATGTATACATATGCAACAAACCTGCACGTTATCCACATGTACCCTAGAACTTAAAGTATAATAATAATAAAAAAAAAATGGTGTGATTCTGAGCAAGCTGGTAAACAGCCTGTACCCTGATGGCTCCACGCCAGTGAACCTGCCCGAGAACCTGCCCTTCATGGTCTTCAAGCAGATGGGGCAGGTGGCTCAGTTCCTGAAGGCAGCTGAGGACTATGGGGTCACCAAGACTGACATGTTCTAGATTGTTGACCTCTTTGAAGGCAAAGACATGGCAGCAGTTCAGAGGACCCTGATGGCTTTGGGCAGCTTGGCAGTGACCAAGAATGATGGGCACTACCGTGGAGATGCCAACTGGTTTATGAAGAAAGCGCAGGAGCATAAGAGGGAATTCACAGACAGCCAGCTGCAGGAAGAAAAGCATATCAAGGCAGCAACAGAGGGGCCTCCCAGGCTGGCATGACATGCTACAGACGACCTTGGCAGATCAACAGCCCTGCCCTCCCCCAGCTCCTTGGCTGCAGCCATCCCGCTTAGCCTGCTTCACACATACCCATGTGGTACCTTTAGCTCTGGCCAAGCTTTGAGGCTCTGTCACTGAGCAATGGTAACTGCAGATGGGCAGCTCTTCCCCAGTACCCCCAGCCTCAGCCCAACTTCTTACCCAAAAGCATCACTGCCCTGGCCCCTCCCTCCCGGCTACCCCTGCCACCTCTACTGTCTCCCTGCCCTGCACCTCCTCTTCCCACCCCCCTGGGCTAAGCAGGGGAGAAGTGGGCTGGGGGTAGACTGGATGTGGGGCAAGTCCACTGTTTTCCTTGACGGCAAAAGCCCATTGAAGAAGAACCAGCCCAGCCTCCCCCTATCTTTTCCTGGAATATTTTTGGGGTTGGAACTCAAAAAGGAAAAAAAGAAAATTACATCAATGTTTTCTCAAAAAAAAAGAAGGCCGAGGCGGAGCCCAGGAGTTCAAGACCAGCCTGGCCAACGTGGTGAAACCTTGTCTCTACAAAAAATACAAATTTTTGTATTTAGCTGGTGTGTGGTGGCGCCACCTGTAGTCCCAGCTACTTGGGAGGCTGACGCATGAGAATTGCTTGAACCTGGGAGGCAGAGGTTGCCGTGAGCTGAGATTGCACCACTGCACTGCAGCCTGGATGACAGAGTGAGACTCTGTCTCAAAATAGAAAAAAGATGATAACATTTGAAAACCAATATGATACTTTTGATTTTTAATTTTTCACATTTAATATAAATTTTGGTGATCTTTAAATTTTATACACTTTTTTCTTATATCAATGTTTATTTTTTAATTGACATGAAAATTACATGTATTTATAGTGTACACATGACGTTTTGATATATGTATACATGTGGAATGATTAAATCAAGCTAATTAACATATCCATCACCTTACATCCTTACCATATTTTTGTGATGAGAACTTTTAAAATCTATTGTCTTGGCAATTTTCAAGTATCCAATATGTTATTATTAAACATTTTTTATGGTCTAAATAAATTGAATTTATTTTTAATCCTTTGGATACTTACTGGCAATATGATACAAATTTTGAGAAAAGCTTGTTAATAACCTGATTAGTGATATGATAAAATTAAGGTAGAAAGATAAATTGTATGGACTATATTGTAATTTAAAAATTATATATGTCTTCATCTTATTTTTTATCTAGACACTGCTGGCTCATCAACATTATATCCAGACATGTGCAATAATGCTTAAATTCAGTTGTCTTTGATATTCTGTCAACTTTTAGTCATACAAAAATCATAACTTTAGGTTAGGCATGGTGGCTCACACCTATAATCCCAGCACTTTGGGAGGTCAAGGTAGGAGGATTGCTTGAGGCCAGGAGTTCAAGCATGGGCAGCATAACAAAATTCTGTCTCTACAAAAAACAAACACACACCAACCACAACAACTTAACCAGGTATGATTGGCATGTACCTCTGGTCCCAGCTACTCAGGAGGCTGAGGTGGGAGGATCCCTTGAGCCCAGGAGGTCAAGGCCACAGTGAGCCATGATTGCACGACTGTACTCCAGCCTGGGTGACAGTGAGACTCTGTCTCAAAAAAAAAAAAAAAAAAAAATCATACTTTTATTCATATTTTAAAATTTTCATCAAGACACATGAATTAAACATTTTATTTAACAGATTGTTTTATAATTTTTACATTTTTAGAGATATACTATGGGCTTTCATTTATACTCTGGCCGTGGACCTTGCAAATATTAGGCCTGGATTTGCTTACAAGTATCTTATTTGTTTGCTTTAGAGTTCAATTATTTTAAAGTAAGTGATGTTTTAAAAATTTTAGATGTAAGTACCATTGTTTAACAAAAACTTGGGAAATACCATGAGGGGAAAAATAATATTGTCACTGTAATACCTCAATTTTAGCATTTTAAAGGATTATCTGCTTTAAAATGTGTCTTTAATTCATCCTTTTTCAAAATCCATTGCCATTCTAGTCATCCTAGTTTAAGCCACCATCATTTCTCACCTGGACTAAAGCAATAGTGTGTAGTTACTTGTCTCTCTACGTTTTCTTTTACCTCCTTCCAATCATTTCTCCACACTGCATCAGAGTAGATTTTGAAAAAAAATATAAATGAGATCATGTTGCTTTTTCTTCATCTAAAGCTTGTTGACAGTATCTAATTGCAGTTGTGGTAAAATCCAAATTATCTACTATTTTATGAAGTCTTATATGATATCTGCCTCTCCAGTTTTCTGTCATATCTCTCGCCTTCCCCACATCTATTAAGTCCTTCCCAACGTTAGTTTTAGGGAGAAGTTTTAATAGAAGGCAGGATATCTTCTTCACTCTACAGGAAGAACTCTGTAGCTTGATTGTTAAATGGCAGCTAAAATAAATATTTTATTTTTGACAGTGCTTACTTTTATATCTATGTTATTATAGGACCCCACCTTCTCTTAACGTTCTTTGATGATGGCTGGTTAAGTTTAAAGGGGTAAGGTAGAGGTAGGGGTGGGAATTGGCTACAGAAATTAGAAAATATTTCAAAAATGCTACTGCTTTTATAATAAAAATCCATTTTTTTTTGGATAGAACATAGTTTAACAAGTTTCCCGCTGATGGACATAGATGTTTCTAGTTCTCCAGTTCCATTTTAAATACCACATTATAAACAATGACTTTCGTGGTCATTTCCAGGAAGTAACAGTCTGGGGTACACTGTTAAATATTAGCCCACACTCATTTCTTAAGGAAGTAACAGTCTGGGGTACACTGATGTTTGAGCGTGCCTGACACATCTTCATATCCAGACCTAATCAGTATGCTATGATGCCATGGCAGACAAATATGTCAAAGCATAAAAACCATTGAAATAACTTTTACTAGGATTTCATTTGGAATTTTGGAGTCAGTTAATTGTATAGAGTTCCTTCATCCTGTCATCTTTGGTTTTTCCTCAAAATGTAAGCCCATTCAGGCACTGTGCCCCTCCAGTACCATCTTGCCCATTTTGTTCAGAGCATCACATGTTGCTTTTCTGACGACCCTGATTCCTTTGCTGACTTAACTGAAAATCTATGTTCTCTCACAGTCTAGGCCTCACAGGACTGAATACAGTAGTCCTCCCTTATCCTTGAGGGATATGTTCCAGAATCCCTAGGGGATGCCTGAAATTGTGGATAGTGCTGAACCCTACGTACATAGTGTTTTTTTCTGGACAGTAATGGATGGGTTGCATATGCAGCATGGATATACTGGACAAAGAGGTGATTCATGCCCTAGACAGGTTGGAGCAGGATGGTGAGAAATTTCATTATGCTACTTGAAATGACAATTTAAAATTTACGAATTGTGTATTTCTTAGATTTTCTGTTTAACATTTTTGTACCATGGTTGATCCCAGGTAACTGAAATCATGGAAAGCAAAATCCTGGGGGAGGGGGGACTACTGTATATATATTCAGTTGAGCCTCATTCAAGCATTCTGTGTTTACGAATTTACCTACTCACTAAAATTTATTTGTAACTCCAAAATCAATACTCAGGACTTGCATGGTCTTTTGTGGACATGGTGCATAATGGTTCAAAATTTGAGATACCTGATGACCCATTCCCAGTTGAGGTTGAACAAGGCAACATTGTCTTCTTACTTCAGTTCTCATACTATAAACAGTTGTCTTTCTGTGGTTGATTTAGCGCTGTTTTTTTTTTTGTTTGTTTGTTTTGTTTTTTTAACCTCTTTGTGCTTTTTGTTGGTGATTTCACTGTTTAAGTGGCCCCCAAGTGTAGTACTGAAGTGCTTTCTAGTGTTCTTAAATGGTCGAAGGCTGTGATGTGTCTTATGGAGAAAGCATGTGTTCAGTCATGAGTTACAGTGCTGTTGCCATGAGTATATTAAGTATCATTAAGCAGAAACACTTATAAAACAAGTTATATATTGATTGGTTGATGAACATGTTGTGACCAGAGGCTTACCAGGAACTTAGCCCTATATTTCCCCTAGGATCAGTGCTTCAGTATTTGCTAGTGCAGTGTTCACGACAGCTTTATAGAGACAACTACTGTAAATGACACTAATTTTCTTTATTTCTGGCTGTCTCTTGCTATTTTGATGACTTCTTTTCTATTTTGTGGAATTTCATTTCACTTGGGTGTGCACCTCTAACCTTTTACTTCAATGACATTTTATGACTCAGTTCATCATCTTCAACAAACATTAATGTAGTGCTTTTCTGCTTCTTAGGAAATTCTTCTTTATCCTGAGATCATGAGATTTTCTCCTATATAATCCTCTAAAAGCTTTTCAGTTTTTATTCTTACATTTAGGTTTATAATCTATTTGAAGTTGACTTTTTGGTTTAGTACCAGCTAGAAATATAACTTCATTTCGTTCTCACAGATATTTGATTGTCCTACTACCATTTATCGAAAAGACAGTCCTTGGCCCTACTGTTTCACCATGCCATCTCCATCATTTATCAAGCATCTGTATATGTGCAATGGACTGAATGTTTGTGTTCCCTCAAAACTCCTGTGTTGGAACCCTATTCCCAGTGCGATGGTATTTGGAGGTGGGGCCTTTGGAAAGTAATTAGGTCATGGGCATGAAGCCCTCATGAAATAATGGGATTAGTGCCCTTATAAGAAGAGGCCAAAGCTGGGCATGGTGGCTCATGCTTATATAATCTTAGTGCTTTGGGAGGTTGAGGTGGGAGGATCACTGGAGCCCAGAGTTCTAGACAAGCCTAGGCAACATAGCAAGATCCTGTCTCTACAAAAAAAAAAAATAATAATAAAAAATAAAGCAGGGGCCCGAGAGCTAGAGAGCTTCTTTCCTCATGTGAGAAGCTGGCGACTGCAACCTGGAAGAGAGCCCTCACCAGGAGAGGCCCTCACCTGGAAGAGTGCCTCACCAAGCTGGCACTCTGATTTTAAATTTCCAGCCTCCAAAGCCTGTGGTACTTTGTTACAGCCGTCTGAACTGACTGAAACAATGTGTATACATCTATTTCTGGCTGGCTGTTTTGTTCTGCTTGTCTTTTTGCCCACCCTTGCATCAGTATCTTGCTATATTAATTAGTATATTTTATTAACCTTGATATCATAGACTAAGTCTTCCTAGCTTGTTTTTCTTCTCCAAGAAAAACCAAGTGCTATGGTTTGAATATTGTCCCCTTCAAAACACATGTTGAAATTTAACCCCAAATGGGCCTATAGTTTTCCTTTTGGGAAGATCTTCGGGAAAAACGGAATGCTTGCAGGGTGAATTAGTTACTATTGGCTGCATTTGGTAATTTACAGCAATAAAGAGATGAGCTCAAAAAAGAATTGGCTTATTTGCAAGCAGAAAAGGAATTTAATTATTTAAGTTGAAAGGAAATTAAGAGAGCTCATAAATTCAGTAGTTG